CTGGGTTCAATCCCCGACTGTGACCCATTCACTATTGTGTTCTTGAGCATGTCACTTACCCCTTGTTGCTCCAGAGGTGTGCGACCTCTGAAGTACTAGCAATTGTAGTCGCTTTAGATAAAATCTAATGAATAGATGTAATGTGGGTGTTTTTAATGGGATTGTAGATCTTTCAGATCGATTTGAGAAAGTATCTATGATCTCGTTCCACATTTTATTGCGGGCCATGCAATGCAGGGAACTGGTCTTGGTCTTGACTCAGTCTCGCCTCCCTCGGTCTCGTCTCGGTCTCGATGCTCTCAGCACCTAAAAGTCTTGGTCTTTTCTCGGTCTCAATAACTCTGGTCTTGGTCTTGACTTGGTTTCGGTTTGGGCGGTCTTGATTACAACACTAGGTCAAGGTTTTAAGGTCATTCAAAGTGGATTTCTGCAGAAAAACAGTGATCAGAGGAGAGAATCAGAGACACATGGAGCAGATTGATTTCAGCTCTTGGAAGTCAGATTCATTTAAAAAGTATAGCCAACATAAAAATGTGTAAAACCATTTTACATAATTTAAAAACCAAATGATCCAAAATGTGGGAGCTCTCAACTGAAAACTGAAACCGCTGTCATCATTGTAATCTTTATTGATTTATATTGTTGTATTTTATTTTTATGGCGGCCTTGTAAAGCACTTTGTAATTGTGCTAAATAAATCCATCCATCGTCCGCCGCTTATCCCAGTAAAGGGTCGCCGGAGCCCATCCCAGCTGACATTGGGCGAAAGGCAGAGTTCACCCTGGACAGGTCGCCAGTCCACCGTAGGGCCACAATAACCAGTCTTTGGATGGTGGGAAGAAGCCGGAGCACCGGAGAGAACCCACGCACACACGCCGGGGCGACCGGGCACAACGACCGGGGTTCAACACACGACTTCCTGTAGGTGACAGTGCCAACCACTGCCACACTGTACCACCGGCTATATAATGACCTTCATTATTATATCAACATGTAAAAAGATGAAACCCTCACTGCACATTATACAACCTGCGATCTAGATTCAAATATTACAATTACACAGAAAATTATGGTTTTCCACAAAACGTGGTTATTTTGCTCAAACCAGGCATTTCCCATCATGCCACTCTGATTCTGCGCAGGTGTGAGAGGTAAACTGCTGGTCAGCAGATTGTTCAGTTCTTCAGAATATAGTCTGTGTTAGTGTAAGGGGCCCCACAATTGTTTTTTGTTTGTTTTTTTTAAAAGTTTTCTATTCAATTTCAAAATTGCATATGTAGCGGGTTCTTTTTCCTGAATACATCCTGATAAAGGTGTGCTGCAATGTTATTTAATGCTCAACAGCAGTAGGACGTATTGAAACGCTCTGCACGTTGGTGAGTGAGCAACGATATGTAGTAGGAGAAGAAGAGCTGTTCTGCTCTGTGTGTTGTTTTCCCCCGTGATCAAAAAGAGTTACAAGAACGCTATTAGCTTTAGGCAGCCGAGAAGTTCACAGGCAGGTAAAAGTTAGCAATAAACTCCACTACAAGTTCTCAAGCGCCTGTCTGTGTTTCCTGGCTGCAACACAGGTCTGGCTCATGTCAAACCTAATGCTCAGCTCACTGCGTGTGTGTGCACGTTAACAGTTTAACCATTAGAAACAAGTGTGAACAGTGTTTGTGTGTAAACCACGTTCAGCTTCAGCCAGCTCTGTTTAATATTCAGCTTCACAGCGGAGAAGTTGTTTTAGGGAGTGACACTGCGTTAAAGCGCGTTTAACGATTCAAGAGGCGGCTTCAGTGCTGTGAGCATCCGGTTCACACATTCACCCTGTGATCACCAAACATTTCTGCTTCCCTGTTAATGTGACATCACAGGGATGGAGACAACCACCAGTCATACGTTGAAAAACCCAGCAGACTGTTAAACAACCCTGGGTCTGACTCGTGTTTAATGAAGTGAAAATATTCATCAACACAAAAGTGTTAAATGTTAAAACAGGTTAGAACCGGCCTTCAAGCCCGTCGGAGCACAAAGTTTCTAACATCACTCGGTCACATGTGGCGTTCTCTGGAAATGATCAGAGCGTTAGTGCTCTGAATATCCGTCGTGCATCAGTTTATTAGACAGTGAAGAGAAAACCAGGTTACTGATGGAAGTGTCGATGTTTGCAGATTTCCTGTCAGAACCGTGATCATCCTCCAAACTAACAGCGTCATCAGATGAAACGTCAGTCTGCTGTTCTCAGCCTCATGTGCGAATGACGAAACTATGTGTTACATTTGTCAACAAATCTCATGTTCAGACTCAAAGCAACACGATTGTGTCCACTAACAAGAGCTGATATATCTTATTCCTCTGTGCCAAACTAACATCTACTGCTTTAGGAACATTTCTCAAATAAACTTTTACTTAAATAACATTTAGAAGAATAAAGAGAGCGGCGTTAGCGAGGAGAAAGCAGTGAACCAGATCTTGTTTCACGGCAGCTACATCCTAAAGCACATGAACGCGGCCACGCCTCCACGTGACCTGCGGGAAGGTTTCTGTGTGAATGCTGTCTGTAACTGCTCGCTACGACATCACGACGCCCAGAAACGTCCCGAACAGCAAAATAATAAGAAAACACAGGCAGCGTTTGGCGTCTCTGCAGACACAGACACGCCAAACGCTGCCGCTGCTCACACGTGATACCGAGAGGGATTCTTCTTCTTCCACAGTTTTGTTTGGAATATACTTCATATTCTATATATTATGCCTTTAAAGGTGCCGTAGAATGGAAAACTGTATTTATCTCGGTGTTGTGAATAAAAAAAGTTCAGAACATGGAGCTGATGCACCGTGAGCCTCGGTCTCCTTCATATGTAAACCTCTCACATGCAGAAGGCCCCGTAAAAAAAGGGCTAGATGTGATGTAACATCTGGGATCTTTAATGTTTACGCCTCAAGAAGGTTTCAGAGACCAGCCCGCGTTCCAGAGAAGCGGTCATGCGAGCTGATGGAGCTGGAGGTCGTTCAGAGTTTTTACGGTTCTGAAGGAAAGGGAAGTCTTTTGTGGTTTTTCCTCTGATGTCCTCTGGCTTTCCTTTTGCTTACCTTACAGTAACTGCTAGCTGCTGCTAACGCTAGCTGCTGTGATCAGCTGGCTCTGAACCAGCGGTCCAAAGTTTCTGTACTGATGTTAGATGTGGAAACGCCAACACGCCCCCGGAGCACCGAGCTTCCAGTCCGGGTAGAATCAGCAACAGGATGACTAGCTGCACAGCTAACTGAGCGGCTAGCAGCAGCTGCTGTTAGCAGTAGTTAGCAGCTAAACTACCCGCTAATCCATCAACCAGAGACTGAAGTTATAAAGTTTGTTTCTGCAGTTAGGCCCCGCCCCTCTGCTGTGCTTGGGGAACTTCGCCAATCAGAAGCAACTGGGCATTCGGGGGTGGGGGGGCTTAAAGAGACATGAATTAACACTGAGTGTTCAGACAGAGGCTGAAAAGGAGCTGGAGCTACGATGACAAAATAATGTGTTTTTTTAAACATTTAACACTTAAAACATTAAGTCTGAACCTGAAAATGACGATTCTACGGCACCTTTAAGTAATGATCTAAATATTTATTCATGGGATTTGATAACAGTTGTGATGTGACGCTAATGGAACAAGATGCAGCTTCATATAAAACATTCACAGTGGGAACAAATCTCAGAAAACACATGAAGCTTAGAGTCACTCTGTCATGTTGCCATGACAACGTCTGACCTGCTGGGGGGCGGGGCTTAAGGATGGCGATGAGCGTCCATTTGTCTGTCCCATACCTTGGTCCCAAACACAAAGACGCCAGCGACATATTACACTGTTCAACACATGTGTTCAAAGCTTCAAGCGGCAGCAGGAAGCAGGCCGGCAGGCATCAGCTGATCCTCACAGGGCTGCTCTGAAGTTAGGTCATGTGACCACATCAGATCAGCTGACTGGATTAAATCCATCCACATGTGAAGTGACATAAACGCTCTGTAGGATAATACGATAAAACCAATGTGATCTGTTAGAACAGACAGAAGTGGGTCCGGGACCGAAGGTTCAGGTAAAAGATTCAACGAGGAAGTGACATCATACTTTATGGTGCCGCCTCCTGCAGGTCTGTCATGAATCTCAATGCTGCTCGTCAGTATGAACTCTTCACATGTCCTCGTACAGCAGCATGCCGCTGAAGATGGTGAGCGGCTCCACAGAGTGGGCCAGTTTGCCCATCACCAGGTCGATGCAGACCGTGTCCCGAGTCTGCAGAGGCAGGATGATGTTGAAGACGGCGAGAGATCCCGGGGTGGTTTTAGCCTCGGCCACAGGGTTGTTCTCTAGACCTTCAGGCTGGTAGCCTCCGGAGTCCACGCGGGCCATGCCGTAATTAGACTTGGACAGAACTGCCTCGATCTTCTCCTTCTTATGTCCGGTTAGGATGGCGCTGAAGAAGTAATGTCCGTCTATGGGGGCGGTGAAAATACCTGGAGGTGACAGAGTCGCTGTGTTAAAGCTCGGATCAACCAGGAAACATTTAAACAGTTAAATATTTGTGACACGTAAAACAGGTGCAGGTGATTCGCTGGGCCATCAGGAGCGGCGTGGGCTTCGGCATCGCCCCTCGGTTTTACCTGTTTTCGGGTCGTAGAAGTCTCCTTCATTGACAAAGATCTTGTCAAAGACGATGGTTCCGGCCCTCTCCATGGGAAACGTGAGAGCGGCAGAGAAGGACAGTCTGGGTACGTGAGCATCGACACCAGCCCTGAAAACACACATTCAAGAAATCACCGGTTGGATCACAGCAGAATGTGGATCTGGGGACGCCTCACGTTTCACTTCATCTTAGCAGGGGTGCGGACTCGAGCCACAAATATGACGACTTTAGACTCGACTCGAAAATCAAAGAATACTTGCATCTCAACTTTGACTTTAGCACCAACGTGACTTCACTGAGCTCGAGCTGACTCCTCATGTCCAAACATGATATAAAGCACTGTGCAGCGTGTCAACATAGTCAAATTTACTCTTAATTAGCCTTTAATTCGACTTTGGTTTCCACCGATTATAAAATAAAAAGTTCATTAAGATAAAATGCTGTTTCACAATGACACTCGTTTGGTCTCTTAAATCCAGCTCTCCTCTTTCCAGCTGAGAAGCCCAGACTCCCTTCAGCGTACAGCATCTGTACTCGTTACTGAGGAGAAGTATTAATACACGCTATCTGTACTCTGAGGAGAAGTATTAATACTCACCATCTGTACTCTGAGGAGAAGTATTAATACTCACCATCTGTACTCAGCGTTACTGAGGAGAAGTATTAATACACACCATCTGTACTCTGAGGAGAAGTATTAATACACGCAATCTGTACTCTGAGGAGAAGTATTAATACACACCATCTGTACTCTGAGGAGAAGTATTAATACACGCTATCTGTACTCTGAGGAGAAGTATTAATACACGCAATCTGTACTCTGAGGAGAAGTATTAATACACACCATCTGTACTCTGAGGAGAAGTATTAATACACGCTATCTGTACTCTGAGGAGAAGTATTAATACACGCTATCTGTACTCTGAGGAGAAGTATTAATACACGCTATCTGTACTCTGAGGAGAAGTATTAATACACGCTATCTGTACTCTGAGGAGAAGTATTAATACACGCAATCTGTACTCTGAGGAGAAGTATTAATACACACCATCTGTACTCTGAGGAGAAGTATTAATACACGCTATCTGTACTCTGAGGAGAAGTATTAATACACGCTATCTGTACTCAGCATTACTGAGGAGAAGTATTAATACACGCTATCTGTACTCAGCGTTACTGAGGAGAAGTATTAATACACGCTATCTGTACTCAGCGTTACTGAGGAGAAGTATTAATACACGCTATCTGTACTCTGAGGAGAAGTATTAATACACGCAATCTGTACTCTGAGGAGAAGTATTAATACACGCAATCTGTACTCAGCGTTACTGAGGAGAAGTATTAATACACACCATCTGTACTCTGAGGAGAAGTATTAATACACACCATCTGTACTCTGAGGAGAAGTATTAATACACACCATCTGTACTCTGAGGAGAAGTATTAATACTCACCATCTGTACTCAGCGTTACTGAGGAGAAGTATTAATACGCACCATCTGTACTCAGCGTTACTGAGGAGAAGTATTAATACACCCATGTGTACTCAGCGTTACTGAGGAGAAGTATTAATACACGCTATCTGTACTCTGAGGAGAAGTATTAATACACGCAATCTGTACTCTGAGGAGAAGTATAATACACACCATCTGTACTCTGAGGAGAAGTATTAATACACGCTATCTGTACTCAGCATTACTGAGGAGAAGTATTAATACACGCTATCTGTACTCAGCGTTACTGAGGAGAAGTATTAATACACGCTATCTGTACTCAGCGTTACTGAGGAGAAGTATTAATACACGCTATCTGTACTCTGAGGAGAAGTATTAATACACGCAATCTGTACTCTGAGGAGAAGTATTAATACACGCAATCTGTACTCAGCGTTACTGAGGAGAAGTATTAATACACACCATCTGTACTCTGAGGAGAAGTATTAATACACACCATCTGTACTCTGAGGAGAAGTATTAATACACACCATCTGTACTCTGAGGAGAAGTATTAATACTCACCATCTGTACTCAGCGTTACTGAGGAGAAGTATTAATACGCACCATCTGTACTCAGCGTTACTGAGGAGAAGTATTAATACACACCATGTGTACTCAGCGTTACTGAGGAGAAGTATTAATACACGCTATCTGTACTCTGAGGAGAAGTATTAATACACGCAATCTGTACTCAGCGTTACTGAGGAGAAGTATTAATACACACCATCTGTACTCAGCGTTACTGAGAAGTATTAATAATACTTTCACATATTTAGACTATTTTGTGTCCGAGAAACAGGGAGCCAGGGTCGGGGTTCATAACCGAGAAAATAAATCCTAGATGAAAGTGTCAAATTTACGAGAACAAAAATCAGAAATTTACTTCCGAATACGCCCAATCCACAGCAAAGTAAGGTGCATGATAGTGATTGTGGGTTAAACCGAATGCAAAGTCTAATATAACTTTTCACTGCATGCATACTACACGGCAGACGTGTGAGTGATGCTGCAGCCTTGCAAAGTGAAGCTTCTCTCATAAATGTGTGAGTTTTTTTTTACTTTTAGATTAATCGTGGAAATTAAATTTTGTCTCAGATTATTCCCCCTCTCCGCTGCCTCCTTTTCTTTAATTACAATGGACCGTATGTGCAGTTGTACCTTTACATCCTAATCATATTACACATAAAAGAAGAGCCCATAAAACACATAATGGAGAATCAGCCTACAGAGAACACCGTGAAGATAATTACAAATTTATTCAATGCGATGCCTCCCTGGATTAGACTTTGACTTGACCGTTAACGTGTCTTTAAACTCCTCATATCCTGACACCATCAACGTGCATACTTCTGGGGGAAATATGGAGCACGCGGCGTTCAGAAGCCTGCATGGCTTTTATGACAACACGCACCAACTCCAATTAAGTTAACACCGACTCAACTAACCGACATCTTATTCACCCTCGTTTGGCATATTGCATTTATAATCATTTAAAAAAACAAAGTATTACAATTTAAAAATTCTATTAATGAATGATGTTTCCTAAGTCAATGACTGTTAAATAACTGTTTTCTCATTATGACTTGTTTAAGACTCCAAACTCAAAGTTTAGGACTTGACTCAGACTTGCCTGTTTCGACTGGTCTGGACTTGGAACTCCACTTGAGTGCTGAGACTTGAGAGATTTACTTGTGACTTTTAAAACAATAAAAAACTTTTTATTTTTTAGTGAAGCATTCTGAGGCTACAGAGGTGTCGAAGGTTAGAGGACCCGGTTTAAAGCAGACAGTGACGGGTCTGTGTGACTCTGCAGTCGAGCCTCTCGCTGTCATTATAAAACTGTTCACAGATCTGCTGCTGTTGCGTCTCAGAATGAGAAAGGTTATCCAACGCTACTGACAGACACACGTTTCCTGCTGTGGAAAACCACGTACCTGACGCACCTCGTTCACCTTTGGGACCTGTAAGAAACCAGAGCAGAGGTTAGCAACAATCCAAGATGAATTTAGTTCCTCTACACTGAAATGTACTGAATATGTCGTACCGGGCAGACCTCGCGCTCCACTTTCACCTTGTCGTCCAGGAGGTCCGAGGGGCCCTTGTGGACCCGGCAGCCCATTGATGCCTCTCTCTCCCGGGGGTCCAGGGGGCCCTTGGGGTCCCGGCAGGCCTGTGTGATAATATGAACAAAAGTATTAAACTGAGGGGTTTGAATGTGTTTTGTGAAGGTGAAGCTAGCTCACAGATCCACACAGAAACCCTCTGTTAACAAAGTGTTAGCGTGTTAGCGTGTTAGCGTGTAGCTGATTTATCACAGCAAAGCAGCATTTCAGAATCGAACATGGAGCAGAAACAACAGAGCTCTGTGGGGCCTGCAGACCTTTTCTTATGGCACCATCATCAGATAAAAATGATTGAAGTTAGTTGTTAAAGATTGAGGGAAGCAAAGCAGTCTAAAGATATATCTGGTTTCACAGCTGTTTCTAAGGTTCCTGTAAGATGGTGCCAGTTGAGGTCTTGGTGAATTTTGTTTCAAATAGCTAGAATTTTATCATTAAAGAAGCTCATGAAGTCGTAACTACTGAGAGCTATGAGAATAGTTGGCTCAACAGAGCTGTGACTCAGTGCTGAAAAGAAACCTGGGGTTGTTCCTATTTTCATCAGCACCAGATAGCTGACAAGCATTTTGTATGACGACATTTCATGTGGGAACTTCTACAATGAGCCTGTGGAAAAGTTCATTTACTGTAAACAGGTTAATCCATTTTGGTCACCAAGACAAAGTCAAACAACAAGACATGAAAATTCTGTTTTACACATCATGACTTTTCACTGGAGGACTGAAGCAGCTGAGAAAGAACACAAACAGACTGTCTGAACTTGAACTGTCCACCACAGAAAAGAAGAGTAGAGTCCGGCTCACCGGTCATCTCGCGCTCAGAGAAACTCTGCAGCTCTTTGAAGACCTGGTTCAGGCTCGAGTTCAGATTCTTCATCTTGCTGTAGACCTCTTCTTGGTTCTTCTGAATGAAGTCCATGATTCCTCCGTGTTGGACGACTGAGTCATTCAGACCAGAAACACACGTCCACAAGCTCGACACATGTCGGTTCAGTCCTGAATATGGGACCCGGCACAGCACGGGGGGTTAAGCTGTAGACATGGACTTGCTTTTGGTTATATTCATTCCCAAACAGTCAAGAACGCACGCAAGTTTCTCTTAAATGTACAATGGAGTCGCCGACTCTGCCTATCGTCCAATCACTGGGGAATAAGACGGACGAATCGCGTCATCTGTGTGAATGCAGGGACGCTTGTCTAGTGGCACTGATGGAGACATGTCCATCAGACGCTGGCTCAGATACAGAGTGTTGGGCAAGTTACTCAGAAACTGTAGGAAGTTACTGGCTACTAATTACTCCTTAAAAAAGTAATATTACATTTCTTATTACTGCGTGATAAAAGTAACTGGTTACGTTACTGTAGTATAGTACTGTAGTACTATACTACAGTACTACAGTACTCATCCTAAGGCCAACGCAAAAGCTGCAGCGATCACCAAATTCAAAGAGGTACAGAAACTTTAATCTACCGCCGATACCCCAAAGCATACTGGGAAATTTTAACCACTGTAAGACTTAGAACAGATTCAGCGCTGGACCTTTACAACACGGGACACACCACAGGACAGGACACACCACAGGACAGGGCAGGACACACCACAGGACAGGCAGGACACACCACAGGACAGGACACAGAACAGGGCAGGACACACCACAGGACAGGGCAGGACACACCACAGGACAGGACACACCACAACACGGACATACCACAGGACAGGGCAGGACACACCACAGGACAGGACACACCACAACACGGGACATACCACAGGACAGGGCAGGACACACCATAGGACAGGGCAGGACACACCACAGGACAGGGCAGGACACACCACAGGACAGGACACAGAACAGGGCAGGACACACCACAGGACAGGGCAGGACACACCACAGGACAGGACACACCACAGGACAGGACACACCACAACACGGGACATACCACAGGACAGGGCAGGACACACCACAGGACGGGACACCCACAACACGGGACACACCACAGGACAGAACATAACACCATATGGGATAAACACTCAAACACAAAAAATGACTGTACCGTCCTTGATCTTGAGGATGGAGTCAGAGACACCGTCCAACCTCCCACAGACTCCCTCCAGCTTCGACAGCCTCTTCTCCAACCCTTCTCCAGACCTCTTACAGTCTCCTATTTCCACCAGCAGCGTGCTCTCGAACCGCTGGACATCCCGACCCATCCCGTCCAGGCGCTCCCCGCTCTCCTCGATGTGCTCCGTCACCTCCTGCTGGATTTTGTCCAGCTCAGAGATGATCTTATCCTTGGTGTTTCCTGTCAGAGGATGAATAAATGTTAGCCAAGAAAGGCTGAGCAATGAATCCAGAGACTCTGTATTTCTGAGCCGGGCTCACCAAGGTCGGTGATGACGCTGCCGTGTTTCTGCACCGTGTGTTCGAGCCCCTTCAGGGTATCGTTGATGGAGCTGAAGGTGAGGATGACCTCGGACAGCTCGCCCTGCAGTGTCTTCAGCTGGTTGTTGTTGATGGAGCCTCCGATCACGCTGTGGCCATCTAGAGGCTTCTCAGCATCCAACCCAGGTCCACGTCCACTGGTACCACCAGTGCTACCAGAACCGCCACCTAGCAGGGGTTTAGTTTGCAAAAGTTTTCTTTCAAATGTTTAACCTTCTGTAAATAACTGAAACAATATTCAAACTAAAGGTAAGAACAGCAGATTTGTGGCTGGTTGGTTTTATAATTTGAAGTCAGACATGTGGAGTTTGATGAAGGCCATAAACAGAGTGAGGATACTCTGCCTGACAAGACAAACTTCAGGGAACCAAAGGCCCACAAATGTGAACAAACCTGGATGTTTCATGCAGGGCCAACAGTTTTTGTGGAAAAAGGCAGTGAAATACAGAATTTGGTTTGTGATAGGACGAGCAGTGATTCTGGGGTGTGAGCTCACGAGATCGAGACAAGACAAGAGATTTTAATACTATTTTTAAGAAATGAAGCTGAATTATATGAAAATCTTGAGCATTAATTTCCTACATTCTGGTGAATTCTTCTGCACCAATAGGTTAGGTTAACTTTATTGTTGTTAACTTTAAATTCTGCTTGGGCACAGCGTAGTGTTGGTTCATAAGAACCATCAACAAGAGCCTGAGAAGCATTGACGTGTTTTACTTCACACGAGGAAAATATAAACACAGAAGAAAAATGACATTGTTGACAACATGGATTCCATTCCATTGATTAAAGTGCATGTGCTAAGGTGCTAGTATGTTCATTGCACATTGATATAGTGCACCGAGATCACAAGTGCTAAAGTGCTCACATATTTATTGCACACAGCTCTATTCAGCAGCTTAATGGAAGGCGGCATAATTGATAATTGCATGTTGGTACACAGAGTCTTCTTCCTGATGGCAGGGTTTTGTATTCAGGGAAGAGGGGAGATTTAAATTTTCCTGGCCTGTTTCATAACTGCCTGGTCATACAGGCTCTGGAAAGACTCCTAGTCTCTCCTCCCTATAGTTTCCATGCCTGTTTTGTGCATGTTAGCAAACTTGTTTTTCAACTTAACTGTTAACACTAAGACCGCCAACATTCTAGCACCCCCTGCAGGCGCCGCAACGGTCATGTGCAGGAAGCAGTTTGTTGGGAGGGATGGTGGAGATCCATATACAGAGTCCCTGCCTCTGCTGAAGCATTTTAAGTCCTGGTTCCTAAGTGATTTATACTGCTTCACCCATAAACCTCATAAAATATCCAAATAAAAATATTCTTTTTAAAAGACAGGGGCGACACGCTGCGGATGACCCATCCACAGGACAGCAGACAGAAACCTGTCATCAAAGCAGGCTGTTTTCTTAGTCTGACAGCCTATTTATGTTTATGATGACGGCACCGTGCGTTATGTGCATTCAATTATCTCCTGCTGCTGCACGTCTCACTTCTAAATGGACCACTTTGCTTTACAATAAAACCACACTCATATATAACATGTAATGTTGTAAAAACTCACCGTATATGGTAATAATGTATAATATGGCAACTGCGGTCTATATGACCGTGGTGGCGGTCAGCGGTATATTTGCTCAGAAATCTTGTGTGTTTTATTTTAGTACCTTCTAAGATACAGAAAACTTTAAACACATATTTAGGAAAAGTCAAGGGCTGACTTTTTTTAGTTATTTGCATTAATAAAACCTTGACCAGGCTGTTCTAGTGTTAAGTTGCCGAACAATACAGTGATTCCATATCTGATGACACTCTCTAAGAAATCCTCATGATGTGAATGCTCACACCATACAACCTGAAATGCCTTAAAAAATAAAGCCTCTGCTGCAATTTGTTGCACAGCTTGTCAGGGTGCCTCGGGTCAAAGACCATCTCCTCTGTTTTTTGGAGGTTGCAGGCAGGTTATCGATTCAAACTCTTACCCTCTAACAGAGTCTAACTCGGTGCAGCTCTCAGATCTGTTTCTCCTGTAGATCTACTTCTTTAATATCTGCTGAGTCATGATTTAGTCTTCCCTCTTCTTCGTGTCTTTGTTTACCTCTTTAAATGTGACTGTGGTTCCTTTTCACCTCAATGAGAAATTAATTCATTGTAATCAGTTAGAAACTCCTGGACTCCTGTGTTCAAAACTTTCACGTTAAACACTGGTTCTTCACTGCGTGAGAAAGTTGATGTGTGGCGTGAGAGCGTGTGAAAAATGCAGATTGCGTGAATCTTGCGAGATCTCGTCACACCCCGACTAAATACATTAGTTAACATGGTTAAAAGTGTAAAGAACTTTGGTCAATTTAAACTTATTTGGAATGTCTATCCATACGTGAAACACCTGAGCACTCAAAGATTTTCTTTCTCATGAGAACAAGATGCAAGAATGAGAAAACAAGGGTGAAGTGAACAATCACTGGATTGGTTGATCTGACCTGAGGGTGTGTCCGGCCCGGTTTTACATTGGCCGGTGCACCTGCTGACGTCGTCTCGCAGCAGGCGGACCTCGTCCTCCAGGTGCGAACAGATCTGGGAGCAGCCTTCTCCCCCTGAGTCCAGTCTGACCTGAAGGCTGTTGATGTGGCTCTGCATCAGCCCCAGTGCATCCTGGGAATGATTCTTTAGCCTCTGCAGCTCGTCCTCCACCTTCCCGCACAGCTCGCAGTCCTGGCCCAGCAGCTCCACCTCTGTCACGATGCGACTGAAGTGTTCGCCGTGATCCCCCGTCAGAGCCTTGATCTTCCGCACGTCGTGGCTCAGGTCCACAACCTCGAGACCATTTACATGTTAATATTCATAACGATCAAACAGTAACGGGGAAGTTATCCTTTTAATCAACAACAGAATTTAATAACTTTAATGTGTTCAGACTGGTTTATGTGTCTGTCGTCAAGGTCATCCTCATTCTTCACTGTGTTTAAATCTGTCTGTATTTGTATCTGCACTTCCCTTCAAACATCACCAGGTGATTACAGGCGCGTAAAAGCTCTCACCTTGTCGTACAGAGAGTCTCCGGACACCGACAGGTCTTTCAGTCGAGTGTTAAAGTGTCGAATCTGATCCTCGTTGGCGACCACTCTCCACTCCAGAGACTTCTCTGTTGTATTTTTTCTTTCTCCCCCCATTCCAACAGTTCTCCTCCTCCTCCTCCTCCTGTTGTTCCACCTCCATCTCCCCTACCTCCTCCATCTCCTCCTGTTGTTCCTCCTCCATCTCCCTACCACCTCCACCTCCTCCTCGTCCTCCCCCTCAGAACCTCCACAGCTGCACTCCTCCAGCCTCCGGCTCAGGAGGGAGGTATTGTTTTCCAGCTTCGACAGCCTCTTGTGGTGCTCGCTCACCCTGTCCTTCACCAGCCCCACTTCCAGCTCCACGTCTGCGATCCTGAAAGCCTGGTCATCGAAGCGGTCCAGGAACACGGCCCTCAGGTCTCCCAGTTCTCTGTGGAAGTAGTCCTTCAGGTCGTTCTCCAGGTATGAGCAGCTCTGTTCAGTCCGCTGCACAGTACTGTTGATCCGCCGCTCCAGGTCTTTCAGTCGACCGTCCAGTCTGTCCTCCGTCACCACGACATCCCTCCTACCTCCCCCTACGCCTCCATCAAAACCTCCTCCTCCCCCGCTGAGCTCCTTGTCCAGGCGGTTCTGCAAAACATCAAAGTCCTCTGAGGCCGAGCTGATCTTGCGCTCAGCGTCAGTGATGCGGTCCTGGAGGTCACCGACGGCGTCGCAGCATCCCTGCGAACGCTCCACCTCTCGTCGCAGCCCGTCCAGGCCCTGCCGGTACCGAGCGTCCATGGCATTTAGCTGCTTCTCCAGAGCTCGAATACTCTCCCTGTCCGCCTGCTGCTGTCTGCGCAGATCCTCCACGCCGGCCTGCAGAACACACAACAGTGAAATCCATCTTACTGACCTAGACATGTTGGCTTCAGCCCTCAGGGGGTTGGGGGCCTCATGTTGTTTTGGATTACTGGCTCATTAAAGGAGGTGGATGTGATACCTGACAGGAAGAGCAGGACAGCGACACCCTCCTCTCCAGCTCCCTCAGGATCTCCTCCCTCAGCGAGCTCAGCCTCTCTCCACTCAGTCCTCCTCCGTCCAGCTCATTTCCTTTCCCATTGACCAGGTGGTTGCTGATGTTGACCAGGGTTTTATCGTGGGCCTGTTGGCGACACATCAGCTACAGTTTTCATTAAAATTCTATGGCATTCAATTTTTATTTCATAACAGATCTCATAACAGCGACCGCAGTTATCATCCCTGGGGCCAGAGCGGGTGGCGTTGAATCCCGACTGAGTGTAAATAGGGAAGATTTTTATTCACGTCGGCGATAACGACTCCCGGTTAAGCCAATCGGAGGTCACTAAGATTAATATTGAGTCGTGTGCACCCCTGCCAAACATGTATAGCCTCATTCCACCGCTGGCTGTCGAGGTGGTGTCCAGCAAACGATGTGGGCTTTGTAGATCATTGGCAGACTTTCTGGGGAAGACCTGGTCTGATTCGGAGAGACGGCATCCATCCCACTTGGGAAGGAGCAGCTCTCATTTCCAGAAATCTGGCCAAGTTTATTAGCGGACCAAATTCATGACAACCCAGAGACCAGGAGGCAGAGTCGCAGTCTAACACACTTCTCTGCTCCTCCTACAAAAGAATAGGAGAATGAAATGTGGACTCTTAAACAGCAGATCTCTCTCCTCTAAAGGTGTACTAGTAAATGAATTAATATCAGATTATAATATTGATTTATTTTGTCTTACTGAGTCCTGGCTGGCTGATGGAGAATATGTTAGCCTAAATGATATATAAATGACATACTGGTATAACGATACGTTTTTTTTCCTGGAAATTTGTCCCAAAAACTCCTCTCGTCTTTATTTCGGGGTCTAGCACTTTAAATGTTAACTTTCACCCAGAACAACAGATGGCGCCAAATATCAGCAAAGCACATGTTGCCCTCCTGACTGAAGCGTGTCACCGTCCCACCGAAACTGGTGACAGAAGTACCAGTAGAAAGTTTATTTTTCATTTGTGTGGTATTTACTGTAGCCTAAATATCAATATCATTCATTTACAAATGAACTGAATTGAATTGTAGAAGCAGTCTAGGTGCTTGATTTATACACCTGTGGCCATGGAAGTGATAGTTTATAGATGTGTGGATCGATATAGTCTATAAAAATAAATTTGTTTAAGTGTACCGAGCGCCTGGTCCACAAGGTGAAGGGAATATTCATGTAGACGCTGAGAATGACAGCCTTAGCGCTGCGTTCATCATCTCTCTATTAGATTTAATCGGCTTCTCATAAACCGACTCACTGTTTTAACCACACCCTCAGCCTTGTTCTGGTATTGAAATCAAACATTTAATAGTGTTTCCACAGAATCCCTTTTTATCTAACCACAGTTTGATAACTTTTAAGTTCCTACTGCTGGACTACACGCCATTAGGCAGAAATTTCTACGCTTGATGTCTATCTGAAAGTGCTGCAGCTAAATTTTAGTGTAGTGATTAAAGTAAAGTGATTCCATCAGCTTTTACCTCATGACCATGTCTGAATATCAGACAGGACTGCTATGTTAATTTCAGTCCCTCTCAAACTGATCTTGTTGCTGCAGGCTCGCTGTGAACGCGGGAGGAGATGTTGAGAAAAAGTGATGGACTTGTGTCAGATATATTGAATAATATCATTCTTGCCTATTTCTGCTCGACATTTTAGTGAAAGTTGAAAAGTGGTAGCATGTAAGACACATTTGTTATGAATCTTCAAAGTTTTAAACTGTTGCTGTGGCACCAGAATACTGAGCCCACAACGCCAGCAGAGCTTTGGATGTTTATTTTCATGGATGGATGACAGATTTCACCGTAGGAAAAAGAACAACAACAACATTGGGAGCGCTGCCTGATCAATAAAACAATGAGTTTGTGTGCTGACAGAGACCTGACTGACCCTCCAGTACCCACAGGTAGAGTGGAAACAGTGACTCACCTGTGTGCGGTTGTCCAGCTGGTCCAGTTTGGTCTGAATGTTGTGAATTGTCTCTTTTATCTCCGGCTGAGCTGCATCAGCAGGGTTCCTTCCTCCTGAAGAGGAACCTCCTCCTCCTCCTCCGGTGAAGCCCGGTTTGTTGGCCTCCTGCTGCAAGTGTTTATTTAGGGTGGACTGAAGGTCCTGGAGGTTCCTGGTCAGAATCTGGATCTTCTCCTCCAGCTGCTTCATCTTCTCGTTCTCAACTCGTCCTGAAAGAAAAGGAAGAAGCAACTTTTACAGTCCAGTAGAGACGGTGGAGGGGCCGCAGTAAGAGCAGTTCATACTGGTGACCAGCAGAGGTCAGCACAGCTTATAGAAGGTCCGATGGTTTCCAGCAGGTTGGATCCTGAGGAGGGTTCAGTGATCAGCGTCACCGGAAGACTAATTCAAACTTAACATGCTATCTGTACAACATGTGGTCTCTCTGGTGGTGCTTGGTTTATGGAGTTGATCTGGATCCATAATGTGTAAATGTAAAGAATAAGAAGGGTCTCCATCAGCACTGTGCCGGTCTAAAGGGGGAAACCCCTGGACATTAGATCAGGGACGGGCATCACTACTCGCTACAGAAGAGAACTTCAGCTGATACTTTCTGTCACCAGATGGTAGCAGAAAATGACTTTGTGTGGTTTCACTTGCAGCCAAACACACAGAAAGAAAGAGAAGAGCAGCTTTTTCTCCTGATGTGCCTGCACCATTAACCATTAACATTTTTATTTGCAGTTTCCATCACTTGTCACTGATCGATCGCTGTGTTCCATCACACCAGTTCAAGCTTTTGTGGCGCAGCAGCTGATTTTCCTGACGGAGCCTCCGGCTGCAGCTGCGGCTGCTTCAGGTGCATCTGCTGGACGTGCAGCTTCTCTTTACTCTGAGAGTCTGTAGTGTAGTTTAGTGACTTCTTTAAACAGACTCTGACTCGAGGTTTGACTCACCACTAAAGGAAAAAGCACTCGGAGATCTTTCACTTCAGTTTATTGATGAAACTATTGAAACTCCCGAGCTTTCCCCGTATATAAAACTACCTGTGAGCTTGAACTAATCAGGACGAGCAGGATCTGTTTCCCAAAACTTTTATGTAGCAGTTATTTGAAACAAGAAAAATAAAATAGATCACCTTGCTTGTCCATAACAACAGTAAAACTAATAATAGGTGACCAATCAGCTACTACGGCTTCAACAGGTGGCATTTTATGAGAGTGATGAAGTACTGTTGGTATCGGTATCACTGTAAGGGTACTGGTTTTGGTGCAGGTAGCGTAACATTTTAAACGATACCCAATCCTACTTTAGATCCAGTTTGTGGGGCCCATGTGGGTTCATCCTGCTGCTGGTGCGGAGCAATAACTGAGAAACCTGTCCTCACTAGCCGTGTCGCATTAGAAAAGGATTTCACAAAAGAATTTTTACGCTGGCTTGAGGTGTTTTTTGTCTTTTTGTCGTTCTGCTGTCAGCGTCTTGCTTGACATTCCCATAACGCGCGGAGACATGTCTGGTAGCAGTTTGCCCGCTTGAAACACATTCCTGAGGACCCCTTTCTATTTTTTTAAGCTCAATGGTCATCATGTTCATGCGGCTGGTTTTGTTTCGTATTCGTCTTGTTTATTACAGCCATGTGTGATGTCAACTACTGACGCAGCTACGCTCGCTGCAACATTACAAAAGTCCGCTTAAAAAAATGACAATTAGATGGAAACATGGCTACTGTCACCTTTCAGGCTTAGCCACAGGAAATGAGGTCCAAGAGGTTTTTCTGTTGACAATAGGGTCTTTCTAAGGATTTATGTTCAGACGTGTCAAATGAGAATCCACTAACCGCTCTGGCCAGATCCAGAACTGCCTCCTCCCCCCTGTCCTGGTCTGGGCTGAGGTCTGGTGGTGGAAATTTGGGTTCCTGCTCCTCCAGCTGGACCATCGTTGCAGTCTTCTCCACTGTAGCCGTCGCAGCACTTCCACTCCATCTCTGTGACCATTTTGTAGGCCACTTTGTACCGCGGCCTCATGTAGGTCCGATAGCTGCAGAGGTCAGACAGCAGTGAGCTCGATATCGAACAACATACAGTCATTAAATAATCACTGAGTGTCAGGAGAAGAATCAAAGCAAACTCAGGGAACGCACACAACCATCTCTCTAATAAACAGGGTGTGTGTTCTTTCCATTATGTCAGGAACCGTTCATCTTCACACGTGGCGGGGGTGTTGCTGTGGACTCAGGACTCACGTTTGGTGCAATTTGAACACGAAACAGTTCAGCGGGGCTTATATTGCTCCGATCTGCAACAGCAAGAGCCTCCGGAGGCGGGGCTTATTGTCTCCGATATGTGTGTGTGTGTGTGTGTGTGTGTGTACTCACACCACCACCCTGCTGCACTGTCCGCTCCCCCAGCTGCAGGGATGATAATCGGGCTTCACGTAGGTTTCCACTCCGTCCTCGACCACACAGCTCACCGTCTTTGTCACAACAAACGCACACCAGTTCCTGTTCAACACACACACACACACGCACACACACACACAGGTTTCAGTCACATGACGAGACAAACAGCAACACCAGAAAGTTCATGTTTTATTAGAGTTCAGTGTTTATTGATCATGTGACCAATGAAAACCTAGTGGACAGACGAGGCCCTGTTTTATTCAGACCTGCACATCCTAAACTTTTTTCCCCATGTTTTCTTTACCCGCCTCCTGACAGACGAGACCCGACCAATCAACTTACTTGATGCACGGCTCTGTGTAGGACACGTTAACGTGTTCTGCTCATCCGTGACTTTACCGTCCACCTCAACTATGTTTTACAGTTTAATTTCACTTTAAATTCCAAAAACTGAACTCCATCAACTTCCTGACAAGATAAAAACCTTTAACCTCCACGCATCTCTGCCCCCCATGGCACCACGGTACAAGATCTCTGCCCCCCATGGCACCACGGTACAAGATCTCTGCCCCCCATGGCACCGCGGTTCAAGATCTCTGCCCCCCATGGCACCACAGTACACAGTCTAACTGAGGAGGTCTCGCTCTGTCCGTCAAATACGACACTGCGTTTCTTACGTGACATTTCTTTGCAATCCTTTGACAAATTCTATAACGGGAATATAAGGATAAATGAAGCGTTCTGATCAGACTGTCCTGATGGATGTAGTCGTGGTTCTGTCGGTCAGCTGCGGCTCCACATGTTAACAGGTGACTTTTTCAAAACGACTCTCTGTTTGCTGAGATAAATTCACACAGACTGCAGATCATCATGAGACTCATTACACACAACAACACACTCGTCCTTGTCTTTGTGTGTCTCCTGTTGCTGATGTCATCGGTGTGTGACGAAGATGAATGTGTTGCTGTGTCGGCCATGTTGGATCGGCAGCAGACAAACTGTGTCTCTTTGTGTTTCAATTCAATTATGTTGATTTTTCTGGAATCCAGAACAACAAGCAGGAATTCAACTTCTCCTGCTGCAGCGCCAAACAGATCTTTAACGTCCAGATCATGTGCAACGTCCAGCTAATAAAAAGTATAATCAGGAAAATGTACTTAAAAAAGTGCCATCCTCAACCAACAGGCCACCTGCAACATTAATTAACAATCAGAGCCGGAGCGTCCTATACGTGCACTACGTAAATGAAGCAGGACCTCGTGTCAGTGTTTACAATTTTGAAGAGAAGATGAAGAATGATTATCGTTCTGGGCACAAGAAGAGAATGAGCTCAGACTGACCAGCAGTCAGGTAAACGGTTTCCTCTCCGAGTGTGATGTCAGCAGATCACAGTGACGTCTCTCTCTTGCCAGACTTTGTGTCTGACCTCTGTTAGAGTGAAATACAGCTATTTATTTACTACTGACTGTTAGTCAGTATGATTAGCGGGGGAGTCTGGGAAATCTGGACGCGCATCTCTCAGTAAATAAGCACCACGTATTCAGTCGAGTCCTAGTTTATATTTGAAAATGTATTAAAGGAAACCTGGGGGCCAGTTTGAAGGGGCCTGATGGAGCTGATAACATTAATATCTGGCATGGATTGTTGTCTATAATTTACAGTTTGGGAGTAGAGTAGATGCTGGATCATGGGCCAGTACAAGCACAGAACCAGTATAGATATCTTTAACAAGTCCCACAGACCCAGGTGAAGTACAGCCGCCATCAGCCTAACTGACCTGGGCTCTGAGATCATGTTGTTTTATGTAGTCCTGTATTTGTTGCTGTCCCTGTGGCCCAGTGAAGGCGTGTTAGGGGTAAGTGCTGATTATCCGTGCTTTGATTTCTGTATAAGCTCCAGGGAGAGATCCTACAAATCCAGCTACTCTGCCATTTCCCTTTTCTTCCCCAAATTATTTTGTCCTTTTAACATGTTTTCCAACCGTTTGTTTTTCTCCCCACAAGGTCTCGTTAGGTTTGTTCAAATTGTCAAAGAAATCTTGGTTCAATTTTGAAGTGAGTTCCGGTAGGCCTCTGTTTGGTGTCCAGGCCACAGAAACCGCCGTGTTAGGGAAAACTTTTGGGGATCCGGAGAGCCAGTCACAGTTCAGGTCAGACAAATATCGCTTATGTCTTACGAAATGTCTTTCAGTACATGACCCCCTGTCAGCCACAACAACCAGAAGGCAGCAGCAGATGGTGGGTCTACGGAGAACAGGATGGAGCTGCAGAGTGATCCGGTTCTGCACAATGGGTGAAATTTGAACACCAGACCTTTTGGCTTGTTGCCTGTCACTGTAGGACGAACTGCGCCTCTTCCACTGGTGAGTACATGCACGCCATTTTGGTTGGAAGCACTAGCATACAGATGCCCTGTGTGTGTGTGTGTGTGTGTGTGTGTGTGTGTGTGTGTGTGTGTGTGTGTGTGTGTGTGAAACATTTGGTTTGCATTCACTCCACACTGAGAGATGGGGGGGGGGGGGGGTGATCTGGATGGAATACAGTTCTCCTTGTGTTAATCTTCATAAACCAAATTAAATCTAACTGACCACCACACACTGTCTAAACAATTCCACCTTAAAAAGACAAACTGTTGGTACACTGTGCCCCCCCGAGGATTAAAAACATGATGCAACGCTGAAGGCATGAGTGACATCAGACACAGAAACCCAACCCAAACTAAATATTTACTGCAGATCTACAGTTAACATGGAGACACAAAATAACATAAAGCCTGAGATGATTCAATGCTGAATTTAAATATCTGACTGTGGGACTTCATGCTTTCTGTTCCTCAGGAGAACCAGCTGCAAAATAAAGACGCACATCAAATACAAAGAGTGGTTGGTGGCAGATCAAGGATCAGGACATCCATACTTCAAACTGGACCAGAGGCCACAGACACCTCGGGCCCCAGGGCTTGTTCATGGAACAATCCTGATTACATGTAAAAAAACAAAAACACGTCTACAGCATCAGTACATTATACAGCAAAGAGAGAGAGGGAGAGAATCTGCAGCTCTGTAACACAGACTCACTAAACTGAACATTTCTGATGACAGATCTGTGCTGCTGTTTACTGTCGCCACAATGACCATCTGCAGAGAGTTGACTGGATGACAGAGAACCTTCACAGACATCTATTTCTTTGTGATTAAGAACTCTGAGTTGCAGATTCAGTCAAATAGCCCAACTGAAATAAAACGCAGAAACAAGACATTAAAACATTTTGCCCAATGAAGTCTTAACACATGCTCGAGCCGATTTGTGACTACTACTAAAAAAGAAACAGACAGATGTTTCCCTCAGGTCATGAGTGTTGCATAGTTTGCCCACCAGAGGGCGCACTGCCTCGATACGAAACAAAAGAGTGAGCTGACCGGAGTCGACGGAGCGTGCACAAACAGCAGCGTGTTTAATGCTACAGTCGGCGAGCGCTGGAGGTTACGCTGCTGACAGACCTGACCGTAGATTTACAGGGGGACAGTTCTACTGAACGGTCCCCTCATTTCTCTCAAGTTCATCACTTCAAAGTAATTCACGTGTTTATCAGAGGAGGAGCGGCAACATTAAAGGCGGTTAAAGTAAAGTTTTTAACGAATTCTAAATATATCTGCCATTGTCTGCCATCCCTGCAAGGCTAGTAAGTAGGAACGATGGAGCAGCGGAGAGAGAGGACGACCCGAACAAGTTCAGGTCAAGCAGCGTACAGCAGAGTGGACATTTCACAGCAGCACTAGGGTGACGCACGAGCATCTTAAACACGAGCACCCTGGAGCCGTTGCGTTTTTAGCGACCGCTTGGTGGTTAAGCCAACTGGCTGTAATGTAAAGTTTGTTAGTGTACCTGTCAGAAAACAAGGTGCCGGCCAAGAGAACGGACCACGAGGACCACCTGCACATTTTAGACACAGAGGACAGATGGTCAAGGAATCCATTTACAGCCGGGTCCAGAAACTGTCGCTTAACGGGGGAGGAGGTCTGAGACACCACTTATCTTTCTCCAACAACCGTCCTCTCATCTCTTCCCAGGAAACAAAACGAACGTTCTCTTTTGGCCTCAGGTGGCTCCAACGACCATAAACCCTGTCGTTACAACATCCAGGAGCCCTAACGACCCAAACAGTTCTCCAAAGAAGGTTCACAGAGACAGACTCACCAGAGTCCACAGAGACAGACTCACCAGAGTCCACACGGACAGACTCACCAGAGTCCACAGAGACAGACTCACCAGAGTCCACAGAGACAGACTCACCAGAGTCCACAGAGACAGACTCACCAGAGTCCACACAGAAGACTCACCAGAGTCCACACAGAAGACTCACCAGAGTCCAGAGAGACAGACTCACCAGAGTCCACACAGAAGACTCACCAGAGTCCACACAGAAGACTCACCAGAGTCCAGAGAGACAGACTCACCAGAGTCCACACAGAAGACTCACCAGAGTCCAGAGAGACAGATTCACCAGAGTCCTCAAAGAAGACTCACCAGAGTCCACACAGAAGACTCACCAGAGTCCACAGAGACAGACTCACCAGAGTCCACACAGAAGACTCACCAGAGTCCAGAGAGACAGACTCACCAGAGTCCTCAAAGAAGACTCACCAGAGTCCACAGAGACAGACTCACCAGAGTCCACACAGAAGACTCACCAGAGTCCAGAGAGACAGACTCACCAGAGTCCTCAAAGAAGACTCACCAGAGTCCACAGAGACAACTAGAGATTTAATATCTGCAGAATTAACACAGTGATGTCACTCTGTCTACAGGAAATGAGTCATTCAGTTTGCTGCTGATGACATCACAGTTGCTTTACTGCCAAATGGATGTGTGCGTGTATGTGTGTATGTGTGTGTGTTTGTGTGGTAGTGTGTGTGTGTGTGTGTGTTAGTGTGTGTGTGTGTGTGTGTGTTAGTGTGTGTGTGCGTGTATGTGTATGTGTGTGTGTGTGTGTGTGAACATCATCAGACGTGCAGAATTCAGTTTGAGGACTTTGAAACATGTTGTAAACACGTACACGAGGGCGCGCATGAATCTCCATTATCAGAGAGTCACTTAGTCTCGGGCTGCGGAGAACCATGTGACCCTGAAGACTTGCCGCCGGGTCCTTACTGACCCAATTAAGGGAGATTTGG